TAGAGATAATTTGAGAAACGAGAACTCATGCTTGTGTGTAAATATAATTTTAAAACTTATCTCAGTTCTGGAGGGTGTTTGCAGGAACTTTTTTTTGGTCAAAGTAGCTTTTAAGCTAGCTTTTCCATAACTACGTTTAGTGACATCAAATAAGCTAGCACTTAACTCAATTTAAAGAAGTGCCCGACTTTTGAAAAAACTAGCTTATAAGCTCATGCAAATAAGCTAGGTTTGAGAAAGTAAATGAATTTTATAACCATGCAAACATTATAAAAAATTATCACAAAATCCAAAAGCTCTTATAAGATTAAAAAAAATGTCCTAAACACTCACCTAGTTGTAGTAAAATTCTAAGTGAGACACACCTCAAAGGATTATCCCAATTTCAGACGTAATTGACCAACACCTTTAAACTTTATTCCACAAATTATCTCAGTTCTGGTTTTGATTTCTAGTGACTAACAGTCCCACAACCGCACCCCACCTCTCCCCACAAAAAAGGATGAATAAGAATATAGAAACAAGACACTTTGCTATTCTTCCACTACTTATTGTATATAATGCTACCTAATTTGCTTTGACTAGCACGAAATGGAATTGCGGAACATACATTTTGCACAAGCTCCAATGCAAGGTCCTTTGGAGTATCACCATCAGCATAAATTAGCGAACCAATCAGATTGCTGAATTTGTCTACACCCTCCAACACAATGCGGACCTAGCAATTCAAAAAAGTACAACGTAAAATGAGCAGGGTGAAAGAGAATGATAGGCATAGATTTAAAACCGAGAGGATGTTTACATCTCTATTTAGAACCCTAATCTCTGTGAAGTGTTTAGCTTCCCTTCCAAATGGATCCGGTGAAATTTCAGTGGTTATCACTGGGGAAGCAGCAAGCTTCTGTGCCGATGTCAATGGTCCCCGGTTACCAGCGGAAGCTTCACGATCTGCTTCATCAGCAGCTAGCTCGGATTCAGGAATTGCTTCAATCACAGGTCTCCTGCCCATTGATGGAGCCTAATTTTAAGTCCAAGAAAACGTCTAACAGTTAACAACTGAATAGCACACAAGGAAATTTCTAAGAAATATTAATGGCTACCAACACAATACCTGAATTCCTGCAACAAGTACTTGAACAAACTGAAACCCTGGGATCAGATAGACTCGAACTGTACTACCATCACGAACTTGCTCAACAATAGCTTCCATAGATTTTCCCTTGTTTGCTTCTAAAAAATCTGTTGCGTTAAAATTACTGGAGCTGCCAATGGCTGACGGTGGTAGATCTCTTACTGATTTTTCAGAAACAATAGCTTCCTGCATCAGTTTGTCAAAAAAATAAATAAAAAGTAATATCAAAACCATATATACATCATAAGCTACATTTGCTTAATGCACATATGATGACGATTGCTCTGGCAGAGGATCAGATAGCAAACGGAGATGACGTAGTTAGACAAATGACAAGGGGCTTCCTAGAGCAAAGACGCATCACGATGGAGGAGGGTTCGAGACTTTTTGAATGGTCAGCATGAAGCCCACAATCTAGACTATTGCATTAAGCAACGTGTTGATCTAACCCTACTAAGAGCAATATGGCAAACTATGCACCGCATTGGGCAAAGGGCATGGGGATCAGATAGGTTCTAGGGAAAGCTGCTTTCGAGGTTAAAAGAGCTGCAAATGAGGGATCAACCTAGTGAGACTGCGTCGCTAGTGGCACCATCAATGGCAAGGAGGTGAAGACCATTAAGAGAGGATGAATCCTCGTTATGTTCAGCAGACCAAAGAATTTGTGCTGTTTTCAAAGAGGTGGTGGTGACTAGATTAGGTCAATGAGGGAGTTGAATATGTAGATGAGGTTTTATCAGTGGTTGAACTAGAGAACTGTTGATGGACAGGTGGAGCATGCAAAGATGAAAACTCAAGGAAATCTTGGCGTCTACCGAGAGGAGAGCCCTTGTAGACAGCGCATCTTGAAGACAACCTCGTCAATGAGGGGCATTCATACAAGGCAAATGTCGATGATGCTACAGGCGTCAAAACCAACGTGATCATCAGGGTTATAAGGTGATGCTTCCCATCCGAGGGTTATAAGATGATGCTTCAGATCTGATGGTGTCCTGTGCAAGAGATCAAAGTCCAGCACTTCTCCTTGATCTCAGGGAACTTGTAGCCTATTGATCAGGTTATGATGTTGGGTCGAATGGTAGATGATTGTTTGTCAACAAGGTTAAGGATAGATTTGAAGGAGATGCTAAGCTGTGTAATGTAGTTGCTGCTGACATCATACACAAGGAGACAACTAAGACCCACATTGAAGGAGCTGGTATTTCTGTCTTGGTGGGCTCAATACCATCACTCCAAAAACCAAGACTGAATGCCCAAATTGAGGCGACTGTGAAGAGTCCATTGGAGTTGGGAGTTGTTACTGCTTGTTTTTTAAACAAGGAAAGCTAACAGGCCTTGAGATAGAAGTTAGATTTGAAGAAGAGACTTCAGACCGATACAGCACATTGATTCTTGTGACCCTCAAGTTGAGTAGAAAGGGGAAGGTAGCCCTCGAGGTAGCGAACAGCTTAATCAGACTTGTGAGGGGAAGCACAGACAACCTATATCAAGGTGATGTTGGCATGACTGGGTTGTCGTTGCTTGGCAGATAAAATTTGTCTGGTGGGGCCACAAATGACTAGGAGGGTGAGGATGAGGGAAGAAGAAGGTTTTTTCTTAATTTTGGTGAAGCGGTGGATTAATTGCTGATAGAACCCCACCCCCCACCCCAAACCCCCACCCCAAAAAAACCTGTTGCCAAATTACATATACTACCCCATTAGTTCTATTGTTGCGATTAGAAACCCCACCCCCCACCCCAAACCCCCACCCCAAAAAAACCTGTTGCCAAATTACATATACTACCCCATTAGTTCTATTGTTGCGATTAGACACCCTGAAGTATCACGAAATTGAGCTTACTACCCCTGTAATTCTACTGTTGCAAAAAGACCACTGAGTGAAAATATATTGTTCCAGATAGAGCCCCGGAAAGGGTCAAATATCTTTATTTAAGGGGTCTATTTGCAACAATAGAACTACAATGGTAGTAAGTTCACTTTTGCGATAGTACAAGGGGTCTATCTGAATTCTGCAATAAACCCTTTTTATTTTAATTTTGTGATTTTATTTCTGAATGCTGGTGAAATAACAAAGCCGCAATTCAAGGCACCCATCATGTTTTTATTGCACTACCAAATACCAAGAAGATGGCAAAGTGGTGGAACTCATGGAGGTGATGAAATGAAGGAAGAATCCATAATAATGAACTAGGGTATCCTTAGGAGGCTGCATCTGAGGGGTAAAGCGTGGACATAGAGCTTGCAGCAGAAACCACCCTGGGCAACCTGAAGATGTAAGAATATGGATCCTCTTAAGTAAAATTTTCTCTGATACCATACCAAAGGTGGAGAAGAGTTTCTCTTCTTAATGAGTTGATCATTGACTAGACCAGAGTAAGACCATATTTCTATACATATATACTAGGCTATTTATAGAAAGTACTAATAAAAGAAAACTCTTCTGAGAAAGGACAACTATGACACAGGAAAGTTCTAAGAAAGAAAATTGTTGTATTTAAGAATTATCAGTCAAAATGAACTCTTAGATTTCAGATAAATCATCAAAAAGAGAATACCGTCGATTCTGATCTACTTTTTCTTTAAAATTCTGATCTTTCTTCACACCATGATTTCTTCTATTTCCTTACATTCTGTTTTTTTCAGAAAATAGCTTAACGCTCTTCACCAAAAGTGACCTACTGAAGACCCTACAGCCTCTATTTCCTTACATCCTGCACTCTCCCTCCAATTTCCCCTTTTCCATGACATTTACTGTAACGGCTAGGCTCAACTGAAGGAAATGTTGGCCAGCCACAAAAAAAAAAGCTCTACCTCATTTAAAAAGTATCACTTTGAATTTGTTGAAAAGAAAAAACTAAGGCAGACTTCATTCCATAACATGACAGAAGAAACTTTACTTGCCTTGCTCCAACGACCAAGACCTTTCTGCTTAGCTTGCTCCTCCAGAGCCTGCAACTCTGACAAGAAAGGGCTTACTTCAGCCTTTTGTTGACCCTGCTCTCGGACCTATGAATTTAGGCATGTCAAGGAATGTTAATATACAATCCTGAAATAGCAATTGAAATACAATAGTAATTAGAAGTACAACATATTACCTTCACCCATCCTTCTTCTACAACTAGTTTGGCAACATTCTGCTCTCCAAGAAAAACAGAACCAAATTCTCGCCCAATAGATGGAACAGTATAATCTACTTTGAAAGTCACGTCCTATAATAAACAAGGAGACAAAGAAGTTGATCTATTTGCTTCTACTTAAAATAAAGAATGAATTTACACAGAATGACAATATAGATAAAGATGGTTAAAAAGAAAGACCTTCCCTATGCAGAGCTTCCTTAAATATTCTCTGCTGTCCCATGCAAAGGGTTCATCAATTCCACCACGACGTGCCTATGACATTAAAGCACAGAAAATGAAGAAACATGTACAATGCCAGAAGAAAATATATAATGCAGCTAGAAACAAGTTATTACAAATTGGAGAAGAGAACACGTTATGTTCAGAAACATATCAATAGTTAATGCATATATGCATTTATGAGGATGAAAGTCATGTCTAACTTAAATATATCATAAAGTTCTAGCACATAATCCTAAGAACATAAATGCAAGAAAAATAGACCTGCACTTAAATTTACTAGAATTTACGAGTTTCAACTACAATCTGTCATTTCACAAACTAAATGGTATTTTGCGTAAAGACACTGGACCAGATTCCGTAGTGCATGTCCAATGGACATTGGCAGTGCATGCACATGAAAAAAGTAAACTTTCCAAAATATAATCACCAGTCATGTATCCCTATTCCTCTGGAAATGAAACTATGATTAACTATAAATCTTCTATGAATATCACCAAAGCAGCATGACCACCATACATACATCCAAAAAAAGTAAATTTTCTATAAAAGCAGTTAAAAAAGCTTTATCAATTAACTGGATTCCCTTTAAAATACTAAACCACACTATAAATCACAGTTTTTCTACAATGCAGCCATTGTCTTCTTGTTATCGACAAAATGATATTTGCACTGCAAAATAGATTGCCACATACCAGCCTCGGTGCAATGATGGAAGATAGGGTGATGGTTTTTTCAGGTGGGATCTCAGCTTTGGTGCTTCCCATTATCACCAAGCAATCTCCAGAAGGGACTGCCTTCACTTTCCCTCTTAGCCATCCTGTTGCACCTTGAGCAGATGCCATGACCTGTCACTATTTAACAGCCAACACTTTTGACAATGAATAAACTAAAATCAAATAAAATAAAATTTCCATGCACTAAAATTTTCAGAGAGAAGCAACTGAAAACGTAAAATCTATGAATATGAAAGCAGAAAAAAACCCATAATGCAGCATTCTATATAAATCAAGACTATTGGTAGCACCGTAACAGTAAGTGAATCAGCTTGATCTGGTTTAAAAAGACTTTGAAGCATGAAAGCTTTAATTACTATGTCTAATATCTAGACATACAAGTAACTAAAAACACTATGTTATGAGTAACACCATAATCAAGAAAGCATGAGAATATTCTACACATATTTTAAAAAATGTTAAAGTTTATCATAATTCAAACAATCAGCATCAATCACCTAAGAGAGAAAAGATCAAATCTTTCATGATAAATGTGCACAATCCTTCCATCAAACACCTTCATTTTTTAAAAAAATTAAAAAGATTTTCTTTTCTTTGCTTTTTTTTTTAGGCTACGACCTAAACATAACACAGAAACGATCAAATCATAGAATATTATAATAAAACAATAAAGAAAATAATTCCACTTTCTTCGGAAAAACGATAATGAAAATAAACATTAACACAATGCTAGTATTATATCATCATTCCAGTTAAAACTAAAACAAGCTCCCTGAGATCAAATCCCTAATCTCTTTGAATCAACAGCGGGTCTACATAGAATAACACATAAAATCAAGTAAAATCAACGTTAGAACTCGGATCAATCTATAACCAAAACCTAGCATCAGATCAAAGGAGAGAACTCAAAAAGATGGGATTCAAATCAAAACCTCAGTGGATCTGACTCGAAATGGAGACAGATCTGAGGAAGAACTCACCGCAGATCTTGAGATCGATCGGAGAACCGATCGGAGCTCTCTTCTCTCTCCTATGTCTCTCCGATCTCGAGACTTCGATAACAACGAGAAGAGAGAAAGAGAAGAGAGATGAGTTTTTTTACTGGGGATCGAGGAGAACGCCGCCGAAGAGAAAGAAACAAAGAGAGAAGGGCAAGGGAGGAAAATAATATATAAGATGAGAGCGGGCGCTTTTATTTTCTTTTCCTTTTCTGCAAATGAACGAGATTTTGCTAGATTTTCACCATCTGCCGCGAATCTTTGTTGTTGTTTTTTAATGGTTAAGATTCACTCTTTTAAAAATCGTTATCTTGCATTTCTGACCCAAAAAAAAAAAGCTTCGTATAAAACTTTAAACTGTTTGATTTTTATTTCCTTTCTTCTTCTTCTTGTTTTCTGTTTGGTTAAAATGAACTTAAATTGAAAAGGTGAATATGGGGTTCACTTTCACTTTCTTCTTCAAGATTAGGGGAGGATTTTCTGATTTGCAATTTCATCTCAGTAATTTTTTTGACTCGTTTTCTTAAAAAATGAAAAATAAAATAACATTACCCTATTTACAAATTTATCATCTAAATCTTGATATTTATAACATTACCCTTCAATTCTCTCATATTGAGTTTTCCTACTCGTCTCACTTGATAATTTTAGTTTTTTACATGGAAAAAATTGTAAATCTATTAGAAATTATTGGAAGTTTTTGACATTGCCCTATTTAGAAACCAATATTGTCATGTTGGAGGTTAAAAAAATCTGATATGAAAGAATTAGAGGATAATTTTGTAACAATTGAGATTTAAGGAGTAAAATTGCAAATATGAAAGATTTGAGGGGTATATATATGCAAAAACCCCTACAAAATATTCTCATGCAAGCACAATCCAACTTAGAAAGTAAAGCTTTTTCTTTTCATGTTGTTGTCTACATCAAGTTGGAGCTGCTGGTATTGGGTATACACAAATAAAGAAGAATTTTTTGAAAAAAGACATTTTCTTAAACTAATAAGCAAAATTGACCGTTTTTCTAAATAACTAATAAAATTGACTGGTCTTTTTATTTAATTGCACTTTTTATACCGTCATTATATATTTTATTTAAATAAATATATTTATAAATAATGTTTTTTATCTTAATACGCAGGTAATGAAGAATTATCGGATAAGAGCTTAAAGGAAGCAAAACAACTCATTTTGAATCTCATATTGAAGCCTAGAGAAACCCACAAAGCTAAGAAAATCCCAAGCAAAATCGAATAAAAAATAACCATGATAGTTCATCGTTGGAGATGTTGTAACATGTTTAAAGTAAAAGTGCACAAAAAAATTATTTAATCCACCTGAGAATTATATAAGTTTTTTCGACTTTCAATTGCGAATCTAATAAATTAAGTTTGAGTCAAATCAGAGTTGCAGAACTCAATATATATGATCATTTTAGTAAAGTAGTGGTAGGACCATAAATTAGCTACTGTACCTAATCAATTAGCTACAGTAGTTAATCGATTAGTTTGTAATAGAGAAGATTTAATGACTGACTTTAATTTCTTAGAGCCTTATTTTGATCCTATGATAATTGTTGATTGTTGTAGATTATATATAAATGTGGAAAGTGAAGGGTTTAGATAAAATTTAATAAACTCTTTTTTGGAGAGGATGAATACTTTTAATTGAGAAGATTTTTTAAATTTATAAATTTTTTGTTTGCATTAAATAAGAAATTTTCTTCCTTTTTTATTTTTGTTCTTCTTCTATTTTAATGGTGAAGATGAATGTTTGCTTATAATGGCCAACCCTTACAATATACGTTTTAATTTTCCTCTTTTATTTTTTATTTTAGAATTGCATGTTTTAGGAATTCATTCCTTATTTTTTATTTTGTGTTTGGTAGATTAGACTTATTGCTTTGTAGTGTAGATTTTCTTTCTTGCCTTTATTTGCTCTGTAACTTACATTTACTTACTTATTTTTTAATACTTTCTAGTATATATTTTCTTTCTTTATTTTTATTTTGTAATATGAATAGCTAATTCTTGTAGGAAATCTAGGATTAAATAAAACTAGTTTAATTTTCTTTTAGTTTTTGAATTATTCTCTTTGTACTTAAAATGATCATGCTTAGGATAATTAATTAGAATACTAATTTTTGTAGAAAAAGAGTTTCATAGTCTATGCTTTAATTGAGTAGTTTGATAGGTTATACTTATTCAATTCTAATAGTCTCCTTCATGTGGATCTAATAGTCTCCTTCATGTGGATCTAATAGTCTCCTTCCTAGTGGATCGATATCTATAACTACCAAAACTTGATTGTTGTTCACTTGTAGCATAGCATATTTTTATCCCCACCCAGTTTTTACCACTGTTGCCGAAAAGGTGATTGTAATTAGGATTTCTCTATTTTGATTTTTGTTTGAGTTGTGTGTTTCATTGTGAATGAATAATTTAGAAGAAGAAGATTAGAGACTTGAGAGAAATTTTTCTTTAAGAGACATCACCCTCTTGCAAAAGTAAGTTCTTTTTTTAATATTTTCAATTCAATCCTTTAGTTAGACTTTTCACATTATAGACAATTAGGAACTAATAGAAAATAAAACAAAAATTCTTTCTTGTTGACCATAATAAAATTCACCCTCTACTTGAATAACTATTAAATAAGATAATAAATTCAAGCAAAAACTCTCTCTCTCTCTCTCTCTCTCTCTCTCTCATTTATTTATTTCTTGATCCTAATTTTAAAAAAAATTGCATCCTCTTGTAATTGCTTTAGTTCTTGGCGCCGCATTGCATATGGTTAACGAAGTGATTGCATTTTAATTTGAGCACTCATTTGAAAATACTTTGAATGGTAAAAACCTTAATCAAGATAAGGTAAGAGATTTTATAAGCTTTTTCTTAGCCTAAAATTACTATTCCCCAATTTCCAACCCTTATTTATAGCCTATAACAATCAACACCAGCCATTGGATTAAGACAAGGCTAAAAATCAAAATCAGCAATCAAATCATTTCTATTACAAGCTAATCGATTAGCTACAGTAGCTAATCGATTAGCTATTATAGTTAATTTATGGTTTTGACACTACTTCACTTAAATGACCATATTTTGAGTTCTATAACTGTGAATGGACTCAAACTTCATTCGTTAGATTCGTAATTGAAAGACGGACAATTATATATGATTGTTAGGTAGATTAAATAAAATTATTTTGTGCACTTTTACTTAAAACATGTTACAACACCTCCAACAATGAACTATCGTGATCATTTTTTATTCGATTAGTCTTGAGCTTGTCATAGGTTTTGCGGGCATCCTCTAGATTTATATGAACTTCAAAATGGGATATTTAATTCCTTTAAACTATTATTCTATAATTCTTTATTACATGTATATTAAGATAAAAAACATTATTCGTAGATATATTATTCAAAAAAATATACTGAGGGTATAAAAGTGTAATTAAATATAATGATCATCAATTTCTTTTTTGCTACATCATCAAGGCTGGATTTTGCAAATTATCGACTTTAAAATATATGGGAGTAGTAGTCCTTGTTGGACCCTAGAGGGGGGTGATTAGGGTCAAGAGGCTCTAATATGCAATAAAAATTAAACACAAGCAAACCACAAAATAGAAATGCAATTTAAAGTAAGTGAGATAGGGTTAGGAATCGTTATCCTTGAAGCGCGATGTGTTAACGAGGTTCGGCCCGCTGACCTACGTCCCCGCTCCCCACTCTCGAGGAGAAATCCACTACACACCCGGTTTGAAAGCCGAAACTTCGTCTACACAGCGATCCCACACGATCTCTCACTACACAGTTTGATCTCAACAGATCACACTTCCTCACAGTTGATCTACACAAGATCTCACTCACACAACAGAAGAAAAGATACAAGACTCTCTCTTTACACAGCCCCTATGGCAAAGAGAAAGATTACTGAAGCTGGGAAGTGAATCACACACAAAAACCACAGAGAAAACAGATTTGAAAATTTTCTCAGGAAGATAGCAGTCTCTCTGGTTTTTGCAAAATGTTGGGGCCACTAGAAGAAGAAGAAGTCTAGGGTTTAAATAGAAGATATTAATCAATTTAAAAACATAATCCAATCTTCCCAATTAAGAAAATAATCTCCTTTTCAGACCATTACCACAGACTGTGCCAAACACGGTTAAGTGTAAGCACAGCAAACGAGGCAATCGATCGTTTGAAAAAAGTCATGGCTGAACGAAGAAGAATTTCGGTTGACCGAAGGGAATTTCGGTCGACCGAAAAAATGCTTTGGTCGACCGATCGAAAATTCGGTCGACCGCGAACAACTTTGAAAACTTGGAAAACAAGCAGAGCCATCATCGGTCGACCGGCGCGGTCGACCGATAGAAAAATTGAGATTTCGGTCGACCGCACCGGTCGACCGACGTCCAGAAAAGTATTTTGACTCAAACAAAAATATTTAGAAAATATTTATTTGACCTCTGAAATTATGAAACTTTGTAAAATGTTTTTAATACTAAAAACAAACTGTTTAGAAAAAGAATTTTACAGATAGGTCCTCATACTTGTGATAAATAGTATTTTGTGAAAAACGCTTAAAACATAAGTATGAAAACGTGTGTATGATTCCCAATAGCTTCAAGTAAAATCAGTAATTCTTTGCCTACATTCTAGCATTAGAGAGAAAATAAAAAACTATCTAATATCCTCACATAGAATACAAATCAGTAACTCTTTGCCTACATTCTAGCACTAGAGAGAAAATAAAAACTAGCTAATATCCTCACATAGAATACAGTTCTTGAGTCTTGATAGATTTAAGTTTGATGAAGCTTCTTTATGGATTTGTTGTTCTTGAATTAACATTGCTTCATCATTATGCCTCCTCCTCCTTTGGATATCATCGTTGTAGCATATATTTCATCCATCCTCCATAAATGGCACTAACAAGCTTGATAAATGAATTTACTACATTTGCACTCAATAAGCCATTAGTATTGTTAATGGTGGTTGTAAAACATCATCAAAACATAAGGGCTAACATCTCCTGTATTCGAATGACTTCCCTTCTAATCGCCAGCCGACACCTGGAAGGAGAAGGATGACTCAGCAGTCTATCTGCCCACCCTGCAACCGTCCTCCTGTGCAAAAGAAAAGCCAAAATCTCAGAGGCAATGGACTA